TGGTGGTTCTGGGAGACCAGGCTTTGGGGACAGAAAGGAGCCCTCCAACAAAATTGCTGAGGGGAAGTCGATGGTAATTAAAACAGAAGAATCCATACCAGCCAGCTCACAGCACCTTTCCTTCTTAGGAGCATGCTGCCTGATTACAATGCCTCCGAGGGCCTAAGCTCAAATCACCGTCCTCTCCTCAAGCCTCTGGGCAGCTTCTGGTTTCCTTCTATAACAACACTCATGGTGAGGTGGGTGAGGGAAGCCTGGCACTCTGCAACTCTCGGATATACCTCTACAGGGATGCAGGTCAGGTCTGTCCTAAACATACAAGATGACTGCAGACTGTGGAGCTTCCAGCACGCTCTGGCTCTCCTCATCCACATATATTCCTAGAAGCATAAAGATGGTGAGGCAGGCAGAGCTATGGGCCTGGCTTGTGCTGATGGGAGCCGGGTGGTCTCCTGAGTGCTAGCCACTCTCGCTCTGGGCTCTGCGTCTAGCCTGGTCCCTGGAGAGCAGGGCCTGTATGCTGTATGTAAGTGTTAAGATGAAACCAAACTAAAACAGCACGACCACATTCAGAAAGGAAGCAGAACTGATCCATTAACAACCAAAACCTCTTTTGCAGGAGGCTTGTGAGCTGGTCCCTGAGACCAGGGCGGCATGGATGGCCATTCGGTCCCTACGGCAGGTATGCCAGGGACGAGGCTCTAAAACTGGAGGAAGGCCTGCTCTTTTGAGAGGCCTCTGGCATCACACGTGTGTCCCACACTCACACCCACTGGTCACATGCAGCAGGCACCAGTGGGAGATACGAACCTGGTGTGCTAGGGAGTGGATGCTCCTACAACCATACGACAAAGAACTCGCCAGGGTGGGAGGCCAGGAAGCCACTCTCCCAGTGTCTGCCAAAACTTGGGCACAGTCCCGAAGAGCCCACCAGCCCATCAGACACAAAGTGGGACATGGGTGGGGTATACGAGCACTCACAGGGTACTCTGGACTCCCTACAGGAAGCCTCAGAGAAACATGCCTGTTCTCCCCTGTTCTCCCCTGCCCAAGTGCCCTGAGAGTGGGGGCCTAAGCAACTGTCCCTGGGACTGGCTCTCAGCCTGTGAGGAAGAAAGATCTTGAGAAGTCAGACGGTACGAGAGAGGTGGAAACTTTTTTCCAGGAAGAAATAAGCGATAAAGAATGAAAAGCTTAAATCTAATCTGCTACTGTTTTTCTTGTGACTGAAAACTCCTGAGAAGGAAAGTGCATTTTCTTTTCACCACAAATCCTAACGGAAAACACACTGGTAGTGCTGACCAGCAACTCCTCCCACTCCTGTGAGCAAGTGTGTTCACTGTCTCCTGACACACATCTACCCAGAAAGGAATTCAAACGCCACACCAACTACAGGCCTACTCCCCTCCAGGGTCACTGGGAAGCAGGGACTGGAAAGAGGAGACAGAGGTCCAAGCAGTCCAATAAGGCTCAGTGTGAGATCCCCATGCAGCAACAGGGCCACATGCACATACATCCAGGAAGTGTGCCTTAGAGGACAACTCTTTGTAACCTGAGAACTGTAGTTAAATTTTCGGTATACTAGGGCGCTTGGGTGGCTCAGTCAGTTAAGCTTCTGACTTCAGCTCAGGTCATGATCTCGTGGTTCATGAGTTCGAGCCCCACGTTGGGCTCTGGGCTGACAGCTCAGAGCCTGGAGACTGCTTTGGATTCTGGGTCTCCCTCTCTCTCCTTTCTGCCCCTCCCCTGCTCACACTCTATCTCTCTCTCAAAAATAAACATTAAAAAATAATACATAAGTATATAAATAAGTAACTAAATTTCCATATACTAAAAGAACAGAGGGGCACCTGGTTGGCTCAGTCAGTAGATCATGTGGCTCTTGATCCTGTGGCCATGAGTTCAAGCCCCATGTTGGGTATAAAGCTTACAGGCGTGGCGCCTCGGTGGCTCAGGCAGTTAAGTATCTGACTTCAGCTCAGGTCAAGATCTCGCTGTCCGCGGGTTCAAGCCCTGTGTCGGGCTCTGCACTGACAGCTCAGAGCCTGGAGCCTGCTTTGATTCTGTGTCTCCCTCTCTCTCTGCACCTCCTCTGCTTACACTGTCTGTCTGTCTGTCTTTTTGTCTCTCTCAAAAATAAACATTAAAAAAAGTGGTTTATTAAAAAAAAAAAAGTAAATAGGGGCACCTAGGGGCACCTGCGTGGCTCAGTCAGTTAACTGTGAGAGTGTCATGATCTCATAGTTTGTGAGTTCGAGCCCCACATCAGGCTCTGGGCTGACACCTCAGAGCCTGGATCTTGCTTTAGATTCTGTGTCCCTCTCTGCCCCTCCCCTGCCTATGCTCTCTCTTTCTCTCTAAAAAAATAAATAAGTAAACATTAAAGAAAAAACTATTAAAAAATAAAAGTAAAAATAAATTAAAAAAATTAAAAAGTAGGGGTGCCTGGATGGCTCAGTTGGTTGAGCATCTGACTTTGGCTAAGGTCATGATCTCATGGTCTGTGGGTTTGAGCCCTGTGTCGGGCTCTGTGCTGACAGCTCAGAGCCTGAAGCCTGGCTCAGATTCTGTGTCTGCCTCTTTCTCTGCCCTTCCCCTGCTCACATGCTGTCTCTCTCTCAAAAATGAATTAACATTAAAAAAAATCTTAAAAATAAAAAATAAAAATAAAAAAGTAAATAAAAATATTAAAAAAAATAAAAACACAAGTTAAAAGACAAAAGCTTAGGGGTGCCCGGGTGGCTCAGTCGGCTGGGCGTCCGACTTTCGCTCAGGTCATGATCTCACGGTTCGTGGGTTCGAGCCCCACGCCGGGCTCTGTGCTGACTGCCAGCTCAGAGCCTGGAGCCTGTTTCAGAGTCTGTGACTCTCTCCCTCTCTAACCCTCCCCTGCTCACGCTGTCTCTCTCTCTCTGCTAGAAATAAATAAAACATTAAAAAAAAATTTTTTATAAAAAAAAAAGACAAAAGCTTAGGGATTTTTTGATGGAGGAAACACATTCTGTTCTGGATATATGTACAGTCACGGAAAAACTTTAGGGGAGAAAAGGAAGTTAATAAATCCCACTATGGGTGATGATGACATCACCTTTCATTTACACAAGTAATGTCAGAAAAAACAGAATGTGCTGTAAAAGGCTCAGGGCTCACCAATTTTCCTGAAACAACAACTACTACAGCTCGCCCCAGGTTAAGAGCCTCAGCCATCCATCAGGGTCACAGCACTGATAAGTGCCACAGGACACCTCTTTTCTGCTCCATCTGGGAGGGCAGATGAGAGAGGGGAATGCAGTAGTGTGTACGCAGGCTCCCAAACCTAGCATTTCTTTCACAGAACCACCAGAACCTGGCCACATGTCAGGACATGCATTATCAGTAACTGCAAAAAAACCTGGAAAAAATCTCAAGGTCTAAAAACAAGATGGTAATTAAGGACAGCAGGATACGTTTATAATAAGCTTTCATGTACGTATGTATGCATATACATCACACAGCATAAAATAACATTAACGAGGATTTTTTTAAATTTAGTTTTTGAGAGCGAGAGCTATAGACTGCAAGTGGGGAATATGTGATCTATGATGTGGGTATGTGCATGCGTGTGTATGGACATCACTCCTGAAAAACCCGAAGGCGCATGCTTCATAAAAGCAAACCCACCCACAAACACGCAAGCAACAATCCCTTCCTCCTCCCCAGCTATCAGTCTCACCATCTTCACAGTGTCCCCACCAAATAACAAAAGTCCTGGGCCTACTTTAGTTCTACCTTCACAGCCCTCTGCACTCCACTGCGGGGGGAAGAAGGTTAAGTATCAAGATAACTCTATAGGTGATTGAGCCCACAGTCAAGCTCCCTCGCTGGCTGGGCTGGGTCCTCCCTCAGCGGAAGCAGAGAGGAGAGTAACCACCAGGAAGAACAGCCCTATACGTGGCCTCAGTGCAGGGTACTGAGTGTATAGAACACATCTGCTTTAGGGCTTAGCTCCGCGCAAACACCTCAGGCCCCTCCGCTGGCACACTTCACAGGCAGCTTCCCACGGACTCAAGCAATGTGGCCAAGACCAGACAGGACCGAGTTTGCGCCTTCCTCACAGTGAGATGCTGTCAGCCACTAACAGAACACGCAGCATCCCAGAAGTGCTCAATACGTGGTACTGTGCACCCGATGAGGAGCTTGGCTGACTCGCGGGTAATGAGCAGGGCAGGAGCACAGCAGGGGCAGTGGCGTGGCAGCCCAGCTCAGGGCAGCACCTGGGCAGGTGGCACTTCGCCTAGCAAGTCTGTTCTAGCTAAAGCCAATACTTTCTTCTGAGCCAGTGTTCCCAGTGCTAGGTGGAGAAAGAAAGAACCAAAGCCCCAGACTAGATGTCTCCTCTCCTTGGCACCAGCAGGATAGGGAATCTGCGGAAAATCATGAAGCCCAATCTCCAAACCAAAACACAACAAGAATCTGGCCTCTACCAGGAAAGGCTGGGCAAAACCTACTCTGTCCCGCCAACATCCAAAACACAGAGGGTGGAAAAGGAGAGCCTCGGCTACACTTCTCAGTGCAGGGGGCAAGCACCGGGAGGCAGCTGGCCAAGGGGCCGCAGCACACACAAGCCCACGCAGTCCACCGGAGCCAGGCGCCACCATACCTGTGCTCTTCCGTGTCCAGAAAACTACTGCACACCTGCCACCAGCCTTGCACTCCAAGCTGAGGTGAAGCTGAGACTGCAATGCTATCCTCTCCAAGATGGGTTCTCAGAGGACGAGGGAAGGGGGAAGAGGGAAGAGGAAGGGTGTCTGAAGAGAGGTGGGGGGACTCTGATAACACCAAGCCAGGCTGGCCAACGTGAGGACCCTGCGGGCTGGCTCCCAGACTACCCATGATCCAACCAGGGCCCTCACTGTTGAGTGCCTGAAATCCAGCTCCATGCACAGGTGGGCATGTACCTGCCAGTGCCTACAGAAGCACCTGGCCCCCAAAACCCTCACCTGGGCTCTGGAAGCCCTCACCTGCACTCCGGAACCCACTATCTGGGAAGCCTGAGCTGTCGGCACTGCTGTCTGCTGCTGCACCTGGGGCTGCACCTGCTGCACCTGCTGCACCTGCGGCGGCTGTACCACCATCTGAGGTCGGACCTGAGGGAGGAAGGGAGAATGTGATTTGGAGCCATCCGGGGCAGGCGGCGGAGCACCTACTACCTCGGTGAGAGCTTTGAATCTTGCAGCTTATCATGAGAAGGGATGAGACTGTCATGACTTCACCGGCTATGGTATCACTTTACCACTTTACTGGCCTTACCTTATTCCATAGCTCATTAGAAACGTCCCATACCAGTCTGGCTCTAAGCCAAGTCCCACCTCCTCTGACTATGACAAGAAGCATGGTCCTCCACTGGGGCGTCACCATACAGCCACCGCTACCATCTACTGCTGCAAGCAAAATGATGGCTCCCAAGGCCAAGTGCACAGTCCAGCCTGCTCAACTTCCAGGCCAAGCATACTGATGGTCTGTGAAAGCCCCACCTATGAAATCAGGGCTGATACCCAGGTGACAAGTGTGACCATACTTTACTCTTCAAGATCCTCCCCAGCCTTCCAGCTTGGCCCTGTGGGTCTCCTATCTGCTCACCACTCAGTTCCAACATGGCCCATCCCTTTCCACTCAATAAGTGAAAAACAGAAAAGGCCATGTAAATGAGTAAGCCATAAACAAAACAAAACAAAACAAAAAAACTATTAAAATGGCCCCGATGCAGCTGCACCTGACCTGATAATACTGTGTCCTCTGTACAAATGTCACTGACTAGATTTGCTTTGTACAAGAGATGCACAATAAGATTGACAATTATACTACTTCCTATTAATCCCCTTCCTCAAAAATCTGGTAATGACAGGGATCTTGGTTCAAAACATAATTCTGAGCAGTTAGCAAACCCACAGTGAATGCTCAATGAGGACACACACCCTCCCACACAGTGAGAATACTCAGGCTACTGTCCACCTGATCGCCCAGTCTTAGAATGCCATGGCCACTGCTGAAATCATCCATGCTGCTTGGAAGAAAACTGTCACCTGGCAGAGGGAGTGCCTCCACGCAGGCTACAGCAGCTCTTGGAATGCATGCGCCCTTGCCAAGCTGGATGCAGAGGCCAGCATGGGGCCTTCCCTGCCTATATGTCCAACAGAGCCCCAGAAACAGCTGCTGGCCACACGCAACACCAAGAGAAGGGCCGTGGCCTACCACAGGCCACGGATACTCACAAGTTTCAGCTGTGGCTGGGAATATAGCATCTGTCCGGGGAGGGCCGCAGCCTGTGACACCAAGGGCTGAGTCTGTGACTGCGCCTGGAGCTGCGATGGCGGGTTCTGAGCAACTGGTGGCTGCTGGGGCTGTGGCGGTTGGTGGTGCTGCGGGTGGTGCATCGGCTGCAGCTGCTGCGGCAGGGCCTGGGAAGGGGGAGGCTGAGGCTGCTGCATAGGTGGCTGCTGTAGTGGCGGCTGGGCCTGCAAAGCTTGCTGCTGCTGCTGCTGTTGCTGCTGCTGCAGCTGTAGCTGCGCCATCCGTAGCTGCTGCTGCTGCTGCTGTTGCATCTAGGGGCAGAACAAGCAGTACTCGGTTGGTCACCCCATCCGCCTCTGGGCCCTGGATCAGCCTTGCCCCCAGGAGGCCTGCCCAGGCTGTTCTCACGGGATACCGAGGACATACCCAGGTGTGTGCCTGTGCCCTGGCCATCAGACACCAGCTGCACCTGAACCTGAGAGAATGAAGGTTCAAGGGAAATATCCAGAGGGCTGAGGAAGGGTAACAGAGGTGCAGCCCCATTGAAGCTGGGATAAATGCTAGGGTGGCTGCAGACCCCTGAGGCCTCTCCAGTGATGCTTGTCTGTCACTAGAGTGGGCAACTGTACGAGCCCTGGGAAGATGGCCAATGTATGCTTTCCAGGATGAGGAGGAAAAGTGAGGCTGAGGGAAAAGTTGGCTCTGGGGAAAGGGCCTCCAAGACCCAGGAGGGTGGCCACTGGGAAATGGAGGCAGCAAGCCAAGGCCTGGGGAGGGTGGGAAAGTGGAGAGATCCCTTCAGGCCTTCCCTCCCTCAACCAAGAGCAGACCTGACGTTGGATGCTTAATACATCTAAATGCTGCCTGCTAACCACGGGAGGAAGAAAACAGTTTCTTTATAAGCAGGGCTTCTAATATGACACTGCCAATCCCCCGTGGGAGAGAGGAGGTTTGATTAGAGCTGTGTCCAGGCACCAAAACACTCAAGAGACAAAACAGAGGCATGCAAGTACTCAAAAGAAACACGCTCACAGGACGGCGAGCATCCCTGCATCATGGAGTGTTCTTCTCACTTCTTGCTTCAGTTAACTCTTACATGAATTGCTTGCACCCAAAAGTCTCCACAGATCCAGCCCTCCACCCCCCGCACACAGTAGGCTCACGGCCAGACGCCAAACCCAATAGAGAGGCCCTCCTTGTGTGACCCCAGCACCCTCCTAATAAGTTGGGGCCTATCCCTCCTCCCTGGCCCTGGCCCTGCAGGAAGCCCCCAGAGGAGGAAGCCTGGGCACCAGGCACCAGAAGGATCTGCGGGTGCCTCTGGGTCCCTGCACCCAGCACTGTGGTTGGTGCATGTCCAGGGCTCAAGGACCACAGGAAGAGGCCGGGCATGGGGATGAGGGCACCTAGTACCTGCTGCTGGTTTTGATGATGCAATTTAATCAGGTGTTGCTGCTGCTGCTGCTGGAGCTGCTGCTGCTGCTGCTGTACCACCGCCTGGAACTGCTGCTGCATGGCATTCTGCTGGGCCTGGAACTGCTGCTGCTGCTGCTGCTGCTGTTGCTGCTGCTGCTGTTGCTGCTGCTGCTGCAGCGCCACCTGCTGCTGCTGAAACTGCTGCTGCTGCTGCAGCGCCACCTGCTGGAGCTGCAGCTGGGCTGGAGGTAGAGTGGCGAGTCAGCCGGGGCCCGGGGGGGGGGGGGGGGGGGGGGGGGGGGGGGGGGGGGGGGGGGGGGGGGGGGGGGGGGGGGGGGTGTGTGTGCAGGCAAAGGCCGCGGTTATAGCAGCTCTGCTGACAGGAAAGGCGGGAAGCCGGCTTGCTGGAGCTGAACACTCCATTTGGGAAATAGACAGATGCGACAGGAGCAGCGTTTGTGTTGATTACAGAACTTCTCAGGAATTTCTCTCCGATAATAGAGGAAAGAAAGGGGCCAACAGGCCCAGCCTCTAGCAACAACTGAACTACAGTATGTGAGTTTGGTGACTGGCTTCTTTTGTTGAGGGGTAGTATTTACAAGGTTCACCCATGTTGCATGTGTGCTTCATTTCTTTTTATTGCCGAATAGTATTCCATGGTATGGATTTCCTACGTCATTTAGCCACCAGCTGATAGACATTGTTTCTGCCTTTTGGTGGTTATGAGTCATGCAGATATGAACAAATATTTACAAGATTTTCTGTGGTGCAGTTTCTTTTAGGGAGATAAAAATGTTCTAAAATGGACTGTGGTGAAGGTTGCACACTTCTGTGAATATACTTAAATATCACTGAATATTGCACTTTAAATGGGTGAACTATAAGTATGTGAATTATATATCAATGAAGTTTTTTTTAATGTTTATTTAAAAAAATTTTTTTAATGTCTTATTTATTTCTGAGAGAGAGAGAGAGAGAGAGAGAGAGTGTGAGCAGGGGAGGATCAGAGAGAGAGGGAGACACAGAATCTGAAGCAGGCTCCAGGCTAGCTGTCAGCACAGAGGCCGGTGCGGGGCTCGAACCCATGAACCAAGAGATCATGACCTGAGCCGAAGTCGGACGCTTAACCGACTGAGCTAATCAGGCGCCCCTATTTAAAAAATTTTTTAATGTTTTATTTATTTCTGAGAGAGAGACAGCGTAAACAGGGGAGGGTCAGAGAGAGAGGGAGACAAAGAATCTGAAATAGGGTCCAGGCTCTGAGCTGGCTGTCAGCACAGAGCCCGACGCGGGGCTCGAACCCACAAACCGTGAGATCATGACCTGAGCCGAAGCTGGATGCTTAACTGACTGAGCCACCCAGGCGCCCCAATGAAGTTATTAAAAAAAAAAAAAAAGAAAAATAGAAATAATCTAGAGAGACCCTCTGTATGCTTTGCCCAATTTCCTTTTAGAAAATTATCACAATCAGAATGCGTGCTCATTTGCGTGGGTGTGTACATTAAATTCTACACAATCTCCTCACCTGGGTAGATTCAGCCACCATCGAAGTCAAGATACTGAACAGTTCCAACACCGCAGGATCCCTTGGGGTTCCACCCCCTTCAGCACCCCTGAAGGACAATCACTAAGGCGTCCTCCATTTCCAATATTTTGTCATTTCAAAAATGTTACGTTAAGTGGGGGCTATAAAGAATGACTGGCTTTTTCACTCAGCATAATTCCTTGAATATCCTGGATATAACTAATATCAGCACCTCTTTCCTTTTCACTGCCAAGTCGTATTCCATGGCACACATATCTCTGTTCAACCATTCACACCATAAAGGACATCTGGGAGTGACTGCTACCATGTACCTTTGTGTACAGGTTCTTGTGGGAATGTAAGTTTTTATGTCTCTGGGATAGAGGCCCAAGAGAGTGACCAGAGAGTTGTATGTTTAATTTTTATTAATCTTTTAAAGTTTATTTACCTATTTTGAGAGAGGGTAGGGGAGAGGCAGAGAAAGGTGGAAAGAGAATCCCAAGCAGGCTCCGTGCTGCCAGTGCAGAGCCCGACCCGGGGCTTGATCTCCCAAACCGCGAGATCATGATTGGAGCTGAAACCAAGAGTTAGACGCTCAACTGACTGAGCCACCTAAGGTGCCCCTGCACATTTAATTTTTAAAGAAGGCAAATCATTTTACGTTCCCACCAGCAATGCATGAGTGATCCAGTTTCTTCTCATCCTTACAGCATTTTGGAGTGATATTTTAGCCATTTTGCTGGTGTACAATTTTTAAAATCTTTTCATTGCATCTTTTTTTTTTTAAGATTTATTTAAATAATCTCCCAGCTCAATGGTGGGGCTCAAACTCACGACCTTGAGATCAAGAGTTGCATGCTCCACCGACTGAGCTAGCCAGGTACTCCTACAGATGTCCAATTCTTTTTGGTTTTATGTGTATGGCAGCAATACTGTGGGAATGATGAGGCTTGCTTTATAGTTTATTCTTACAGCTGAACTGTTGCCTTTCATTTACAGTCAATCTCACACTTCCTATGTTTCAGCAGGCAAGTTATGTCCAATCACATTTATTGTGATCACTTGTATTTCTCACTTATTTGTCTCTGTCTTCCCTTTTCTAAGCTTCTTTCCCTCCATTTTTGTTTTCCAGATTCATTGGAGTATAACTGACAAAGCTTTTCTTTTCTGAAATACATACATTTTTCAAAGATTTTTTTTTTTTAATGTTTTATTTATTTCTAGGAGAGAGAGAGAGAGACAGTGTGAGCAGGGGAGGGTCAGAGAGAGAGGGAGTCACAGTCTGAAACAGGCTCCAGGCTCTGAGCTGGCAGTCAGCACAGAGCCCGACGCGGGGCTCGAACCCACGAACCGCGAGATCATGACCTAAGCGAAAGTCGGACGCCTAACCAACTAAGCCACCCAGGCACCCCCAAAGATTTTATTTTTAAGTAATCTCTGCAACCATTGCTGATCTTGAACCCACAATCCCAAGATTAAGAGTCACACACCGCAACTGAGCCAGCCAGGCAGCCCCTGAATTATATTTTTGTTGGATGGTTGAACTCCATTTTATATGATGTTTGGATTTTTGTTTTTTTCTTATTCATTTTTTCCTACTGGTCTGGGATATACAAACTATTTCTACTGTTTTAGCAATTCCCTTTTCCTTTTTAAAAAAAAGTTTACTTATTTTGAGACAGAGTATGCGGGGGAGGAGCATAGAGAGAGAGGGAGAGAGAGAATCCCAAGCAGGCTCCATGCTGTCAGCGCAGAGCCTGATGCGGCGCTTTATCTGATGAACTGTGAGATCATGACCTGAGCTGAAATCAAGAGCTGGATGCTAACACAGCTGAGCCACCAAGGTGTCCTTCTTTTTCTTTTTTTTTTAAAAGCAATTGCTTTTTCAATTCCATCGGGCATTCTTAACTTACCAAGTATAAAATTTATATTTTAACTTATTTCCCAAATACAAGAACCTTAGAACCCCCTCTATTTTTAAAAGCCAGTTTCATGGGGCACCTGGGTGGCTCAATCAGTTAAGTGTCTGACTCTTGACTTCAGCTCAGGTCATGATTCCAGGGTCATGAGATCAAGCTCCGCTTTAGGCTCTGCAATGAGCACTGGGCCCGCTTGGGATTTTCTCTCTCTCTCATCCACCCCCCCCCCACACACATGTACAGCTCTTGCTCTCTCTCTCAAAAACAAAACAAAATTCTCTCTTTCTCCCTATGCCCCTCTCCCCTACTTGCACGCTCTCTCTCTCAAAAATAAAATAAAAGTAGGTTTTATATGCACATGATAGACCTGGTATATATCCCTGATACACCTCCTGACTTCCATTTAGTATGATCCTTGTTTATCTTTTTACACCCATACAGCACACTTCTATTAAGAGGCAGAACAAGGGTGCCTGGGTGGTTCAGTCAGTTAAGCATCTGACTCTGGATCTCAGCGCAGGTCTTAATCTCAGGGTTGTGAGTTCAAGCCCTGTGTTGGGCTCCATGCTGGGCATGAAGCCTATTAAAAAAAAAAAGAGGCAGGTCAGAATGATGAGTAGAGAGGTACAGCCTCCAATCTGGACTGCCTGGACTCAAATACCAACTCTGTCACTGCTTTGTGCCTCAGTTTCCTCAGCTGTGGAAGAGACAATAATAGTACCTACACACACTAAACTAAGAATTAAAAATCTGTTCTGGGTAAAACACTCGAAACAGTGCCTGGAATGCAGCAAGCCTATATGGAGTTAGCTGGAAGCCTTATTATTTTATAGAGGGGTGGTTTTTGTTTACACCAAGGATTCTCAACCTTGTCCCTACTGACATTCTGGGACAGACAATTCTATGTTGTGGGGGGCTGTCCTGCACACAGAAGAGGTTTAGCAGCATCTCTAGCCTCTATGCTACGTGCCAGTGGTGCCCCCTCAGTTGTGATATCCAAAATGTCTCCAAACATTGCCAAATATCCCCCAGGGTACAAAATTGATGAGAATCACTGGTTTAGATTTACACACACACTTGCTACCTTATATGAAAAAAACATCTCTTCTCCCATTTTACATCTGGCATCACAAGACGGATGGTCTGAGAGTTAAGAGGATATGGTGAACAAATTAAAAAAAAACCTTTCAGTGCAGGTCTCTTGGGCTTTGTTTATCTAAAATGTCTGCTTCCCCCCTAGTCATCGGGAGTTCTGCTGGCATACAACTGTGGTCTGCAGCTCTATCGCCAGGGCTCTCACAACCTCCTTTCTTCTTGACACCATCACCAAATCTGCCCAGTCTACTCCTTACTCCTTTTTACAAATTGGCTATTTCTAACATAGTCCTCTGGCCTATGACGTCTGTGGTTTTCCCAAAGTAGGTGAAGGCATGGATGCTGTATTTAACCTGCATGGGACTGCTCGGCTTTTCCAGCTACCATCGCTTCTTACCTACTGGTTTGCTTCTGTTCTCTCCATTTGGTCCTTTTATTAGTTGTTAGACTCTGATTTTATCCTCTGCAATTTCTTACCCTATTTTCTTAATACTTTTTAAGTGCTTATTTATTTTTAAGAGAAAAAAGAGAGGCAGAGAGAAAAGGAGACGGAGGATTTGAAGTGGCCGAAGTCGGATGCTCAACCGACTGAGCAACCCAGGTGCCCCTTACTGTCTTGTTTTCTTTTTTTAAAATAAATGTTTATCCATTTTTAAGAGAGAGAGAGAACACATGAGCAGGGGGCAGGGGCAGAGAGGGGGGAACAGAGGGTTCGAAGCAGCCTGATGCGGGGCTCAAACTCATGAACTTTCAGATCATGGCTTGAGCTTAAGTTGGACACTTAAATGAGCCACCCAGGTACCCGATTACCCTATCTTCTATGTCCTCTTCTCTGGGCTATATTCTAGGTAATTTCTTCAAATGTTGTCTCTAGTTTAAAATTCTTTCTTCAGTTGTATCTATCTGCTGTTTAGGAGCATGTGGGTGGCTCAGTCAGTTTACGTATCCAACTCTTGATTTCAGCCTAGGTCATGATCTCAATTCGTGGGATCAAGCCCCACACAGCACAGAGCCTGCTTGGGATTCTCTCTCTGTGTCCTTCCCCTGCACATGTGCACTTCTCTCCCTAAATAAATAGATAGATAGATAAATAAAAATACTTTTAAAAAATCTGCTATTCATTCATCTCTACTTTCTAGTTTCAACAATTTTATTTTTTATTTTTTAAATGTTTTTATTTATTTTTTAGAGAGAGAAAGAGAAAAGAGAGCTACAGAAAGCAAGTGGGGGAGGGACAGACAGAGAAGGAGACACAAAATCCGAAGCAGGTTCCAGGCTCTGAGCTGTCAGTGCAGAGCCCAACGCAGAGCTCGAACTCATGAACCACAAGATTATGACCTGGGCCCAAGTCAGATGCCTCACCGACTGAGCCACCCAAGCGCCCCTCAACAATTTTATTTTTGTTTATACAAGTTCTACTTGGTTCCTTTTCAAAGCTGCCTTGTCACTCCACCAGGTATCCCAGTGCTTGTTCATTTGGAATTCCATCCTTTATTTCTTTAATCAGGCCAAGCCCATAGTTAACAATGGTTATGTGTGTGGCCCCGGGCATCTCCACATCTGTTTGTTTCTGTCCCTCCTATGGTGCCTCTACTTTCTTGCAGGCCTGCTGGTCTTTGATTGTGGTGCTCAAAGCTTGACCTTAATCTGCAATTCTCACAGGCCTAAACTGGGAGCATTCTCCAATCTGCCCTTGCTCCGGGTGAACTAGAGATGCCAAGGGCTCTGGCCCAAATCCCACTACTCAGAGGACTGCGAGGCTTGCTTTCCCCAGTCTCGCAGTGGGCCACGACATGGCAGGGCAAAGAGCGTCCCTACCTTCTGCTGGCCCAACAATCCAAAATGCATCTAGGCTCTAGTTCTCTAGAAGGACGAGGGTTCCTCAGCATCCAGTCTGTCAAACAGACAGAAATAGGACTCATTTTTATTTTATTTTTAAAAAATTTTTTTTTTATTTTTTTAAAATTTTTTTAATGTTTTATTTATTTCTAGGAGAGAGAGAGAGAGACAGCGTGAGCAGGGGAGGGTCAGAGAGAGAGGGAGTCACAGACTGAAACAGGCTCCAGGCTCCGAGCTGGCAGTCAGCACAGAGCCTGACGCGGGGCCCGAACCCACGAACCGCGAGATCATGACCCAAGCGAAGTCGGACGCTTAACCGACTAAGCCACCCAGGCGCCCCAGGACTCATTTTTAAAGTTGGTTTTACAGGCACATGATATAAAATTCACTGAGGAACAAAAATGTACAGAGTGAAGAATCTATCTCCCTTCTAAGGCTGTACTCAAGCCCCCATCCTCACCTACAGTCAGCAGTTTGTCTCCAGGACTAATCCGGGTTACATGGAGACTATCCCAGCGTGTCCTGGACTATCCTTAGAGAATCCTTGCGAAATCTCTGACCCAGGCCCTGTCCTGAAGCTGCCTTAATCACACGGTGGCATCTGGAGAGACTGTCAGGAAGGAGTAACAAATGTCCATCGGGCCACAACACCTACTTCGCATAGACCAGGCAGACAAGAGGTCTAAGGCAGAAGGACAGGGACTCTGAAAGGCAGCAGCAGGACACGAAAGCAGAGAACCCACATCAACCTACAGTGCAGCCCAGGTCCCTCCAGAAGCTGAAAACAGGATGTGGGCCAAGGTCAGGTTGGGGAGGGTGTGGGCAGGATACCCAAGCTTTGCCAGTGAACTGACTGAAGTGTTCGGGGTGAAACTGCCAGGCAAATAATGGTAGCATTCTAAACTCCTACGCTTCAAAACTATTTTTTATTATAAAATGTAAGTCTGTGATGAAAAGAAATCCAACCATTCTCTAACATAAAAAGGAGTCAGAACCAGTACTTCTCCTGAGCATCCTTCCAGAAGCCACCCCACGTATGCTGACAAGACAAGAGGGGACACAGGAGCTGGAGAAGAATCATCAGGCAAAGAGCTGAGGGTCACATGGCAAGGTGCCAATAAGGAGAACAGAACAATGATCCGAGAAAGAAGGGGATGGCTGGGGATGGAAGGTTCCAGCGCAAGAGTGTGCAGAATGAGGCTATATATGGCCTCTGTGAAGAGCAAAGTGATGCTCGTACAGGAAACTCAAAGAATGGGGGTGCTCAGGTCAGGCAGCCTAGGTTGGACCCCCAGCTCTGGTGGGCAAAGCAGAGGGAGGGACACTGCCCCCTTCAGAGGGTTACTATGAGCGATGCATGAGAAAAATACATCGACACATCACAACCTGTACATGAATCAAGGTCACAGCAGCTTTATTTGCAACAGCCAAACCTGGAAACAACCTTCAAGGGTGAATGAATACGCAAACTGTGGTACACCCAGTCCATGGAATACAATTCAGCAATGAACAGGAACGACTTACTGAGGCGACTTGGGAGAATCTCAAAGGCATTGTGCTGAGGGAAAAAAGTCAGTCTCAAATGTCAAACATTGTGCAATTCCATCGATGTGACACTTGCAAAGTGACAATTACAGAGATGGGGAACAGATTAGTGGTTGCCAGGGCTTGAAGCTGGAGGGAGGGTGTGATTATTAAGAGATAACACAACAGCTTGCTATTGGTGATGGAGCAGCCCTGCATGCCGACCCTGGTGGTGACACCACACGTGATAAAATCTCACAAACTACACGCACGGAAGCTCATGGGCAAGAATGCATGTAAAAACTGGAGATGTCTGAAAAAAGGCCACCTGAGTAATTAGCAGCATTGTCCTAATGTACATTTCTCAGTTTTGAAAATGTAGCACGAAAGCAAAATAAGTCAGGCAGAGAAGGACAGCTACCATATGTTTGCATGTATAGGAGGATTAAGAGGAACTTAACGGAGGACCATGGGGGAGAAGAAGGGGAAAAATAGTTGGGGAGAGGGAGGGAGGCAAACCATGAGAGACTCTTGAATGCTGAGAACAAACTGAGGACTGATGGGGGTGGGGGGGAGGGGAAGGGGGTGATGGGCGTGGGGGAGGGCACTTGTAGGGATGAGCACTGGGGGTTATATGGAAACCAACTTGACAATAAACTATTTAAAAAAAAATGTAGCACAATGTTAGCACTGGGGAAGCTGGGTGAAGGGCATGCGGGCACTCTGTGCCATTCTGCAGCTTCCTATGATTCTTAGACTATTTCAAAAATAAAAAGGGAAAAAGTACTGAAGCACTTTGCAGTGCTGAAGTACACTCTGCATACTGAATTACTGGTTATAAAAATCAAACGCCCAACGAAGCAGGCCCTGGAAAGAGGAGGAAGACCCGCGCTATGTGCCCATTCCCAGCCTGGACTAGCTGCACAGAGGGGACAAGGGGCTGTGTTCTGCAGAGAAGCGCAAGGAGGGCAAGGCACCTCCTTCAGGGAAGGAGGGCAAGGGCAAGGGCAAGATAGAAGGGAGGACTCTCGAGCTGGAGGTCTTCTGGGGGCTGTGGGGCGCCGACAGCACCGCTCTGTGGCTGAGAACAGCCTGAGACATAACTGTTACCTCTTTCAGCTACAAAACACAACCTCCGGATGGAGTCCCGGACTTACCCCAACCTCTTCTGAGTCCTTCAATTCTGCCCAGGGGTAGGAGGGCTTCAGTGTCACTTAACCCTTCTGACAGCCCGAAAGAGGTTTGGAGCTTTTTCTCTCCATACACAACAAAGATAAAAAGGCAGAGCTACTTGGAGTTTCTGCACACTTTCCTCAATACCATCCTGAGCAAAGGAATAAAATGCACGTCGCCTACAAAGAAGGCAGATTCTCTGAGAAGCACGGTACTCACTCTGTGGAGCTGCTGTGGACACAACAGCCATGCCGTGGGGGGCCATCCCCGAGGTGCCAGGGGGCGGCTGCCCTGAGAGGGGCATTGGCTGCCCCATGGTGCCAAGGCCACCCATCCCGCCCAGGGATTGTCCTGGGCCCCGAGAAGGCATGCCGATTCCAGCGGCTCCCGCAGCGGGCCCACCAGTCAGGCTCTGTAGTGCATTCATAGGATCTGTAGGAACACAAGGGCACAGCGTCTCAACCAAGTGCTTGCTGAACCGCAAGGCTCCAAAGGCTATGAGGCCTCACAGAACACACACTTCCTCCCACCTCCAGGCACGACTCCCTCAAAGCCCTAAGCAGTGAAAGGCCAGAGTTCTGGGAGCCTGTAGGCCGCCAACTGCCCAGGGACCAAAATGCCGGTATCTCTGTCATTGCTCTTGAACAAGGAGTGCACCTCAAACCCTAGCCTGGCTCATGACAGGGTCCTAACATTGAGGGACCTGAAGGTATGCAGCAGCTCCCACCCCTCCTGACTGTACACCCCTCCTGCTGGGTGAGACACAGCTGGGAACTCCAAAGACAGCAAAGGAGACAGCAGGCTCTTCACAGTGAGACAGAGCCTGGGGGCCGGAGAACTGAGGGGGCACAGACTGATGTTTTCTCAGGGAGATGACAAGTCTCCTTGCACACCACAAGCCCACCTCTGCTAAGTCTGTGCAGAAACCCCACTAAGGAGCGATTCTCAGGACACCACGCTACAACAAGCGAAGGTGTGGGGGAGGCGTGTAGGAAGAACCCACAGAGTGCCACCAGGCACAATGACGCTTGCCAGGAAGCAGGGGACTCAGCTCAGTGGGCAATGCCACGACTGCAACAAGGAGCCCAGAGCTCTTGTCAGAACAGTATAGGCTCACAGCAAACAACTACCTACAGACAGGAATGTCCCAGCCAGGTCACCCTGCAAAGAACTGGATGCCAAAGAATCCCACACTCCAGTGCCAAGAACTCAGACATTTTCCTGGCCACACGCTCTTTACCCCATCTAGCCCTGGGCATCTGAGAATCACTGCACATGCCGGGAGGGCCCAACAGGGAATCCGGGCCCACAGAGACAGGTGCAGCCAGCTTGGCTAAGGCATGCACGGGCACCCAGCATTTACAACTGCACTGCCTATGCTAAGACAAGCAGCATGCCAGGCTGGCCCCCTCCTTGACAAATCAGAGCTCAGTCGGCCATCATAGATTTGACTAAACCCCTTCACTGGCAGCTTAGTCAACAAGACCAGGGCAGAAGCAATACAGTTCCCATGTGATAAAGTCTTGAAGTTAAAAAGAAAAAAAGAGGAAAAAAAAGACAATTCTTAACTTACAAAGAAACTTTGTAACTTAAGGAAGTGAATTCATAGTTATTCTCTAAAAACTATTACTGCAAATTATTATACTAGATATTCCATTGTAGTTTTCTTCCACAGAGCTCAATATTTTAGATAACATCTCCATAACTGTGCGAGTTCTGAAACATCATTTTGCTGGACAAAAACAGCATTTGAGTGACATGGATGGGGAGGTCTCATCTGACTGCAGTCTGCCAGGAAGAGGAAGCATGGAGGAGGGTCGGGCGTGGCTCGAAGTTCTCACAGCCAGCTAGAGTTCTTCTTTCTGCAAATTTTCTCCACTAGTAACAGCTTAACCCGGAACTCACGCAGCATCCACAACTGCATTCTTGCCCCACCCCCCCTCCACTGCCAAACCCAAGGTTGGGATAAAACTTTAATTCAAACAGAAAATACTCTTACCGCTGACGGAAGCTTGAGATTTTTTGTTATCTGTATTTAAGAAAACAAAAACAAAAAACAAAGTTTTACATAACCACATAGTTCCCCAGTAAGCCAGCTTTGGAGGCATCTGCCTAGAGGTCATTTGCTGAAACGAAACAGAAGATAAGATACCTGGAAGTGCACGTGTGTGCATGTCTGTGTCCACTCTGGGCAGAGCTGACACTCGAGGGGGTCTGAGGCAAGAAGGTACAGAACTGCCCCTGGTCAACCTGGGGCCTCAGAGAATTGTCCCCCTCCCCCTCCCTGCAGAAGCTTGCTCTGGGCCTACTCTGGCCCTCCCTCCTTCCCGGGAGCAGGGTCTCAGCTGGGACCCTGAGCAACAAACACAAGAGCTGTAGGGATCCACAGTGGGCCCAGAATGGTGTCTGTACCTCCACAACACCTCCTTTTTCAGCCTGCCCTGATGAGGAGGCAGCATCTCTACTTTCTACTAGGAGGACATTGAGTGCGGCCAAGGCTGGCTAAAAGCCCCATCTAGCTGGCCCTAGCACCAGGGGCAAGCACTGCAACAGGACCGCCCTCTCTGGGTGAGCCAGGGGCCGGTGAGCGGGCCAGGGATACGCCTGGCCCCAGGGCTTTGTGCTGCTCTGCCAGGCTGCCTCCCAAACAGGCCAGGTCAGCCCAGTCCCGACAAGCAGAGCTGCCTGCCAGGACAAACCAAGGCATCTCATCCAGACTGCTCACTCCCCAGGCTTCTAGTTCCAACAGCTTGTTCTAAACCCCATAAGACCTTCCCAAACACAGCAAGGAAAGTGGAATCAAGTGAAGTTCATCTGGCCGGCCATTCTGGGGAAAAGTTAGTGTGGAAAGAAGCAAAATCTATGGGCCACACAGGGGCTCTGGGGTTTACAACATCTCTTCTCGGAGATTACTACTAATGCCGTAGCCACCTCTACAAACATGAAGAGAAGCCACTGGACGCACCAACTGTGCGCTCCGAAGACAGGCTGCGTCAAGAGGAGCCCATCTCCTGTGGTCACACAACTGCAGGCACGTAGGAGGTGCTGTTGGCTGAAACCTCAGAGCGCCGATCGAGCCTGGTTTCCTTTAGAAACGGTGACCATCCAGGAACACTCCATGTCCTCCATGCTTATGCATAACACACATAAGACCACCAGGACCCCTGAGCCCAGTCTGCAAGGACACACACTTTTCAAGAACCATGGCTGCTGCCAGGCTGAGCTGACAGGACCCCAGCAGAACCCTGGGAATCAGAGTGGGTAGAAGGCAGCAGGTGTCAGGCAGCCCTCACCAGGGCAGGGAGCCGGAGGCAAGACTTACGAAGTTCCAGCTTGACAGGAACACAGTTGGGTCAGACCCCTATTGGTCAATAAGCTAACTCCTAGGGAAGGAAGTTTCTTTTCCAGGGTAAACCTGGCTTATTTAAGAACTGCCTAGAGACAAAAACCAGTCTTTGGAAAAAGAAGATTAAATGGACAAGCAAAAATAGCAGTCCAGACCACTCGGAGGCTAACATTTCCATTATGCCAAAATCAGCATTTTTGAGGTTAAAGCTGTGAAGAGGATGGGAGGCGGAATCAAATGCAAAGCAATGCCGAACTTCCCAGAGAGCAGGAGCTTTTCACACAGGCATTCTGCCTCAGGCACTGTGGCCAAGAAAGCCCCCACCACCCCAGGAAAGGGCAAGCCTCTCCTGGCACTTGAAACTAGAAACCACCCAGAAATGTAAAATTTTACTTACGAATGTCTCGAAAATGGATAATAAGCCTGGCCACGAGAGAAAGGTACTCGTCCTAAAAGCAAAAACAGGAAGCAATTTAATCCCAGATGAAAAATGAAGCCATGTGACGCCCCTTCCCACCCCCTGCGCTGCCATGTCACTGAGTCGAGGGTTCTTGCTGAAAGGCTGCCGGCTCGCCTGGTTCGGCCTCCTCTGGAATCCATCTCTCAGAGCAGAGCTGTCAGTGCTCAGCTCCGGCAGGCCAACAAAAAGCACAAAGAAACAAAAAGCCAAGAGGGATACCGAGACAGGCGTCAAACCGCGGCTCTTTCCACTCTGCTGCAAAGGCTCAGCGGAGAGGGTGGCTGGCCAGCTCAGGCGCCCCTCCTTTCCCAGAGGGGACAGCAGGTCCAGAGGGGATGGGATGAGGGGCCAGCCTGAGGTCACATGGCACATCAGCAGTAGACATGGGCGGGCCGCTTTTGTCTTTGCACTATTTGTATCCAAGTACTTTCGCTTTTAATACTCAGCCTGTTGCTCTTTCACTGCTGACGTGCTCGTGTGCAAATCTGGCTGTGCGCCGCTGGCTGTGCTTTTCGGAGAGCTGCGTTCATCTGAATCTACTGCACCGGCAAGGGAGAGGGCACAGTGCCACCCAAGGGTGGCAGGTGAAGGCTACTGCCGAGGGCTCTCTTTTTCCCGGCTGCCGGGTTTCTGGAACTGCAGAGCAGAGCCTGCCTTCTACTGATTGACCTCTTTGCAACTAAGGATACTCACTCCCAGGTGTTAGGGGGAAATCACTACTGTGAGTTTGTCTGGTGGTCAACAAAGGGAGGTCTGAGTTAAAATCTTATTTCACAGAAGCTGTACCATCCTTCCTCTCCTTGAAATGCCCGTCCCTCTAGCAAGGCAGCCCCAAAAGGGCAAAAGCCTTCATTTTCCATCTTGCTTGCATGACCCTCCTACGTCACTCTGACAGAGAGAGGCCACTAGACAGCAGACTGACGGGATGACACCCACACAACCCAGAACCCAGCTGCATGCGGCATCTGTGGAGGTACTACCCTGGGAACACGCCTGTGAACCCAGGAACAAACAGTAAACCCACTGTCGTAAGAACATCTTTGGGGAAAAAGTGGTCTCAGGTGAATGCAAAAATATACGCACACTTTCTAAATCTTCATTATATCTCATCTACCCCCAAACTTCACCCCACCACTCTTTTTTGGCCAAGGGATTCAGCAGAGGCAAACGCAAGGGGAAAAGGCCTGGGGAAAGGCAAAGCTGGGATGATAAGCACATGCAAAGGGGGCAGGTACAGAGAGAGGGACAGTGAGCCTCTAACTGGAGCAAAGGGGCACTTAGCGGGTGTTGTCAACACTCCCGATTTCCAATTCCCCTGCCCCCAGTTTCTGGTAGGAAAGACAATATGCTGAGGGTGAAGGGAGCCCCCCCACCCCCCCGCCCTGAGCCAGGTTCCTGCCTGTGGATCACCTGGTCCTTGAAGGATAGTAGTGTGGTGAACAGGGAGCAAGGAGGGCAGGAGGCCTGAAGGAAGCTCAGGAAATGAAGTGGCCAAGTACAAGGGGAAAAAGATTGGGAACCTGCCAAGTCAATATCCGATGTCTTGTTAAGGCCTTGAGACATCTGTTAAATACCTTAAAAGAATTTGCTGAGTTTTCTCTATTTCCATAAAAGATAAAATGAGGGGTGCCTGGGTGGCTAAGTCAGTTGACTTTGGCTCCGGTCATGGTCTCACAGTTCATGAGTTCGAGCCCCGCTTTGGACTCATTGCCGTCAGTGCTGAAGCTGTCCACGCAGAGCCCACTTCGGATCCTCTGTCTCCCCTCTCTCCCCTGCCTGTGAGCACATGAGTGCGCCCTCTCTCCCTCTCAAAAATAAATATTAAAAAAAAAAAAAAAAAGATAAAATGAGGAAGCTGGTTGAAAAAATGAGATATTTTTATTCGCACACAAGATACAATAAAATGGGGCTCAGGAGCATGTCCACAAAGCCTTTAATACAGAACCAGGACTGGGAGCTCAAAGCTGGGCTGCAGTCCCTGTCCCAGAGCTGGATGGCCAGCATGGTCTGCTCCTGGCTAAGGCCATCCCACTGCCAGGTGAGTAGAGTGGAGGCTCTGGGGACCAGACCAGGCTGAGGAGGCCTAGGGGGCAGATGTGGCCCACCTGACAGTAGACATGGGCACAGGCAGCAGTTAGTCAGCGAAGAGGCTTTCTGGCAGGTTAAATACATGTCCGAATTTCTCGCAAAGGCCAGGCCACCCAGGAACCACTGGGAGTCAAGTACTGCACATCTGCCGCCAGTGTTCCTCCCTCAGAAGACCCTGGGGTCTGAGACTGCACCGCTCATGTCCCACAGGGTGGGCTACTTTACTCCCATGGCTCCTAAATCAGAGGTCCTAACTGACCTGGCCCAGTGTGAGAATTCCTAGGCTCTGCTACCCCCTTCTGCTCCAAGGCACCCCACCCCTCTGGGACTGTTCCAGAGAAAGGGCTAAAGACCATGTGATGTCCCTTACCTTCACTCAGTCTTTATGACCTGTCCTGCTCAACATCAAAAATCTACGTGTCTGGGCTGCACGTGGTATTACCAGACCAAGGCAGTAACAGCTAATGCCCTGGCATTTACGTGGTGCCAGGAACAACTCTAAACCTTTATATATATCAATGCTTTTAATTCTTCCAACCACCTACTGAGGCAGGTGTGTGGTGTCTGGTTTGCAAACAAGAAGACAGAAATGTGGGGAGAAAAGCTTTATACAGTTCAAACCCCTGCCTGACCCATGCAAGTCTAGCATGAAGGCCCAACGACAAGGGTGAAGAATGTCTCCCCGACAGGGGTGTGGAGGGAGCAGCAGGAGCAGGGACACACACAAGCTCCATATAAAATCCCAGGCACCGCACACTACACGCTATACACTACCTTTTGTATAAGACATGGGGAGTCTGAATACATATGTGCTTGCATCTGCAAAAAGAAATGTTGCAAGAATAAACCAAAATCGGAGATAAACAGTTACTCCCAGAGGTATCAGGGATTGGGCTGTAAATGAGACTTCACACCCTGTTATATGGTATTCACATTGGAAGCATGTACATTTTTAAAAAAATCAAATTGAAGATAAAACTAAAAGAAAAAGTACAATTCCTAAAAATTCAAAATAAACATATGAGCTAACTATCAAGATGGTGTCAAAATCATACAGGGAAAAGAACCCTATTTAGAGTGATCGTTTTTAAAAAGAAAAAGCAAACAAAACAAAACTGCATGTCCTTACTTCATCCATTTTATGGGCAAACAGAGCTGCAAAGAAATCTTAAACTTCATTCCACATTTTGTTATTATGTTACCAATATTAGTGGTAATATTAGTCTGTTTATTCCAAAGGTATTTTATCTTATCCTGAAGTTTTTAAACTTTTTTTTTAGTAATCTCTACATCCCCAATGTGGGGCTCAAACTCACAACCCCGAGATCAAGAATTGCATGCTCCTCCAACTGAACCAGCCAGGCGCCCCCCAAAAATATTTTAGAGTAAAGCAAGTAATTATGCTACTGATATGAGAAGCCAAGATAGTCACATTAAGAGAATAGATACATGTTTAAAATGAAAGTAAAACCCTGTAAGGTTAAATTGGAATGGGAAATATCAGTGTGAAATTACGGGGTTTTTGAGGTTGTCGCTGTTATCACAAAAATATATTCTTAGCTCTGTTCACAAAAAGGTGCAGAAGCCATCAGCACCAGTGCCCACACCGCATGCTCTAAATACCATTTCACACTCAAAAAGGAACCAGGGCTCCATAGAAGAATGGCCCATTCCGGGACCAAGACGCAAGAAAGCTGCAAAAGACGAAAGGAGTCATGATAAGGGCCCTATGTTGGACAGGAGGGAGCTTGGGGGCTGCCCCTGGGTGAGGAAGAGACCACAGAAGCATCAAAATGAACCACTGCAATGGACTGAAATATACGAGATGCAGAGCCCCAAGCTCCTAAGAGTCACAGGAAGAGAACCTACCTTCATTCCCATCCCCAGGCCCTATTGATTGCCTCCCCACCCCCACCCAGGGGGCAGGGGGAACAAGGTTAGCAAGTTCTTAGGCTACAAAGGGACAATGGGCTGCAAAGCACCCCTGGTTGGTCCAGAATTGGCTGTTTCAAGCAACTAAGGATCTCTGGTTGATGAAAGAAAACCTTTCTTTGCAGCAAAATTACTTTTAATAAATGTGTAAGGAAAGCCAGAATTGAGGACAATTACCACTTTGCAATACCCAATTAAATGGTGGAACCATCAGGTGATAAGCGGATGGGGAATTTTTTAGGAGAAGAGTCACACTGTCACTCTCTGAACTCCTGACCAGCTGTGGTCTTGTGGGGAAATACAAATACATGGCACCACCTCAGACATATTCTTGCTAATGAAGCCACTGCACCCTGGGCTCTTTCCATCTAATACCCAATTTATAAGAAATAAGGGGCAAAAAGGAGTGAGTCAGGCAAACACGCATGCCAACGACTCTGCCACTTAGGATTCACAAGGAAGTGAGGAACCTGGCAGAGATAGCTCTGTATCATCTTGGAGAAGACATGTATCACCAAAAATAGAATGCTGGTAGAAAGATGAATGTGAAGAATATTTCTGGGGAGAGCTTAGAGGAAATGAGGAACAGAGAATCTTTGTTATCTAGTGGCAGGAAGTTTAGCTGACCTGTATCCTAGTTGTGAGGAAGGCAGAACTTGTAAGCAACAAATTTGGATATTCGGCTGAGAAGACTTCCAAACAAAATGTTGAAGGTCTGGCCTGCTTTCTTCTTGCTGCTCAGAGTAAAATGTGAGAAGAGAGAGAAATCGAGGGAAGAACTATCAAGCAAAATGGAACCTGGACTTGATGGTTTGGGAAATTCCCAGGCTACCCAAACTGCTAAAATGAGGAGATTCACTGTGAGGAAGGTGTGCTCTCAGTCTTTCCGAGTGTGGCTTGACACAAATTTTGCTAGTGCCAAAGAGACTGGACACAGGATTCACAAATCCCCTCAACCATCTCACAGAA